TTTACACAGCGTAGGCTCGCCTCCGAAACGCTCGGGATGTACGAGCCGAAAGGCAGGCAATTGTGCTTGAAGGCTTTGCTGGGGTCCCGAGGGTCCAGAAAGCATAGGAATCCGCGTTCGCTCGATTCCACACTAATCAATCTGAACGTTGATACTATATCCCATTCTAACAACCAAACTTGGCTATCCTCATCTCCAATACTAGGGGTTGGTCGCGGGACATTAGCCAATAGATCGTGAACATCCCGGAACCTAGGAAGACAGCAGGTTGTTTTCAGGCCACGAACAGTACCGTCTTCGCCCTTGCTTTCGAGTAGAGCTCCAGTACGTACGGTAATATTGATACCACTCCTCCTGAAGTCGTCCAATTGTCGGATGGCTTTAAATTCCTTCCCGTTTTTCCACATCATATGAACTTTCGACAACGCCTTGCAGTCTGGACTCGTCGGATTAGTCTCTGATAACCGGCCTAGCCGAAGCTCCTTCGCTATGAGCTCTTCGAACGGCCTATACATATCTGGAGGAATGCTGCCCTGCGGCCAGTCGCGTAGCCTCAGCTCCTCGAGTTTTTCGCCAGGCCAGCGCACGAAGGACGGCTCATCCTTCTTTGGTTTGCCAAGCTTGTCAGTATCGACTGCTGGCCATTCCGCATTTACTCGAACCGGGATCAAGATGCCAAGGTGCTCCCTCAGCTACCATCCAGCAGATATCCGCGTCTTCACCGGGCGACTCCGTCGTTGCTCCTTTACCAGGGGCCGTAATGAGGCAGAGTTCTTCTAGCAGTCTAGCGCGTAGAGGGGACGGGGGGGGGCGGCCAGCTCTCCCAGCTCCGATTTATTGATGTCCTTCGCGACCGAGATGAAAGTGGTCAAGTCCTCAAGGAGCTCATTGGCCACACTATTGAGAGAAGCTCCATCATCGGCGCTCCACTCCACACTCATCGCGGATTGCTCTTCCCGAGAGCTGGCGACGAAACGATCTAAGAAGTCCTTTCGGGCCGCACAGAACATCTCTGTGTGCTTAATTAGAATCCCAGAAATACTCTCTATTAATGGCGGCTCAGATTCTCGAAACTCGAGCTTGTCCCACTGCCCTGAGTACCCGGAGCCATCTCGAGGCTTTCCCTCCACCGCTGGGGCTGATAATTCCTGGGTCGACGTCACCCAAGGGTGATCTTCAGGCTTGCTGCCCAACTTTCTGCGCCTATCTCGCTGTTTCTTCGCTTGGGTAGACCTCACGTGTGGCATTTCCCAAAGAAGAGTCTCTTTGTTAAGTGGGAACCAAACTGAACGACAGTCGTTCCGAGAACGACGTTTCCTCCGTCCCATTTATGGTGTTATGACCACTAGGAACGGCACTGACGCAACGCAACAGCGACCAGTTAATCAAACTTCGGAAAATGGCGGAAACTCAGCTTCAACAGTGTTGGATTGGCACCAAACCAATGCCGCGGCTATTGGTTCTTAGGGTTCTTCCTTGATGGTTCATCCTTCACCTGCCCAGTCCTAGGGCGTTTATCAGACCCGAAGCTACTGTCCTTCTCCCCACCTTGACCGTTCTGCCAATAAGGCTTAGATTGGGGGTCGCCGAAATGTTTACGATAACGGCAATCCTTACCGAAGGGACAGGATTGGCGAGTGAAACGGCAAGTGTCAGCACCGAAGTGCATAGCGCTCCCTTGCCTACGTATACCCTTGCCCGAAGGTGGCCTGGGTATGCCAGATTGGCTCACCGCCGGTTTAGCCAAGGCTACAGCTTATCAACTCGTGAGACTGATTGGATCTCAAATAGGTACCGAGGGCAGAGTCGACTTGGAGAGAAGGGTCAGTGTCCCGCAGGCGGGTGACCCCTTGTGGCCAAGCCAGCCTGTAACCCTTATCACACTCGACTGCTGCCTCGAACGATCGTGACCTCGCTAACCAGAGCAACCGGCTCAGATAAGCAACCGTGTCTTCCTCAGCTTCGAGAAGATCTCGACCACGACGACACCACCACCACCACCATAGTTTTTGTTGGAACCGACGACTTCGCTGGCAGTACCGGGACTTTTGGTGGATGAGCTGGCAGACTTCGCATCGGCTACCTCCGTCATAGTGGTTGTTTCGGACTCTCCGTCGAGTCCCCCATATGCACACCTTCTCAATAATTCGTCGGTCAGCTCCTTGTCCTCCAGGGCCGCCTCGAGCACACCCACAGTACTAATACCCATGTCGACACAAACAGTCGACGCTTTCTCAGCCAAGTCGGGGAAAACTTCGCGGAAGAGGTCGGGCGTGCTGGACGTGGTAGACATATAAAACAATCTGCGACCAGCTCACGTAAATCGTAGCATGACCCAATACTCGTCTAGCTGAATTCTGTGGCGGAGTTTCTGCCTAGCCTGGCACGCTAAGCTAAGGTCCTCAGCTCGGGCACCGAGCCTCGGTGGAGAACACAGTGTCGCAGTCACTGTCTCTAGGGCAACGAGAGATTGAGCGGACACGGAGGCAAGTCGACGAGTGGTCAGCCACGCGAGGCGGCCGTCCTAAACTCGTAGAGCCACTCTAGCCCGATCAACTCTGGGTATCAGCTTGGTCTAACCCCGAGACAGAGACGCACAGAACC